CCTAATCCGAAATCATCTGGTTTCATAATAAAAACATATCAAATGATGCTTGTAAAGTAAAAAACCCACCTATATCACAAAGAGATGAAGATCCTAAACATCAACAAATTATCAGATAAAATCACGTAAGCTTTCTTCTGTTTTGCTCGAACTCAAGGAGTAAGCATACACACCAACTTTTTATTTTATTTTACTTATCCTCTTCTAAAGAAAAGAATAAAACAAAAGATATATGTAATCAAAAGAAAGAGAGTGTAAAATTGTGAATATTTTAAAACAAATTTATCAAAACACACCCCTTAACTTTCACTATATTATAAAATCCATCTCAAACTTTCAATTCAAATAACTCATTTATCACAGTGTGTGAATCTATGACTCTGTAAGTGACGTTTTTTAGAACCCTGATTTTGAGATATATTACGACAAAATGAGTAGAAGATTTTATAATATAACCATCATTGTCATGTACTTAAAGTCATCGAGACTTGTAGCATTAATGGAGTATTTTTATCCCTTGGGATGGAGAAGTTATGAAGTACAACCTTCATAGGCATGAAGTCAAAAATTATATATACAAATGAAGTATCGTGTGAGAATAAAAGTTAAGATGAAAAGCGTAAGAATAGATTTGGACTCTTGATGACTTTTTAATCTCCCTACACCCCCTGAATTGCGTTTATTATGAGAATTGATCTGATGTATCTCGGTGCACCGTATTAATGTTGATATTTAGTTAGGAGTGATCCAATAGTGGAGATCTTCTTATCGTTCTCACTATAACTTTCATCCCAGACCCAATCTAAATGAGCTTACAAGACTCACTTTCCATCAAGGTCTTAAATAGTGTGAGGTATGGCTTGACGTGGTGACAAGATCAAGCCTTAAACCTTATACACCACGTGAAGATGAGAGTTTTTCAAGACGTAAACTAAGACGATTATTTTGTATGTCATATATGTGTGTGTATTGATATTATATAAATAGTCAACGATCATCGATCAAATATTCAGAATAGAAACCGGAAGTATTTTACAACCTCTAAACGTGATTCCATGATATGTGTGTGTGTAACACCCCAACTCCCATTTGCATAAAACACATAAATTCCATATAACATGAAATACAAATATTACATCTTGGTCCCAATATTTTCAAATTTGCTACATACAAAAGTAGCTACAAACTTTTTATTTATACATATACATGACTGGAATAACACAAAGTCACAGATCATGTATGAATTCAGCTTCCCAAAAATCCATATATGTAAAACAATAATAATCTCCTTCAAATCTTTCCCTTCCTTTTACCTTTCACATGTGTCTGGCCTGTAATGCACATTTCTGAACACAAAATGAGGGTTAGATCACAAGGTCTAGTAAATAATTCCCTTAGTTGCTATTACAAGGTGAAAATTACCAAAACACTTTTGGAAAGCCAACATTAAGATGATAACTTTTAAATAACAGTTTATTGTATCAAACCTCCTTTATCGCATCATATAGATGAAACAACCTCATTATTTAAATTGGTATAATACATGGGTTTAGAAACAAATAGGAATTCCTATCTCCTGAAATCAATTATTGAAGGTTATAAAAGAAGTTGTTATGAGTAATATCATAATTGTTTTGAATACCCACCATTCAAATGGGGACAAAGACATTATTATTGATATGAAGTGACAATATTTACTTGATAGGTTCAAAGAAATAATGTATACATATGAACAGATAGAACTTATGTGATCACCTATATTCACTTATGAATATAGTGTCTTTTTTCACAATAGGAATATAGTGACTTTGTTCATAAATGAATATTGTGTCTTTATTTACAAATTGACACGAATAAAAATCCAACGACCGTATTCTATGTATATCATCATTCACGTTGAAGAACATCAAATGAAAATCTATTGTTTTTGAAGAAGTAAATAATTATCCACTAAATAGTTAAACCAATCAACTCCAATAATCATCCATAATATGGAACATGATTCTAATTTGGCATTTTATTGGCCATTAATAAAGCTAACACTAATTTTGTGCTTAACAAATGATTAGTCTTATATATACATATATATATATATATATATGTATATCTAGACGAATAATTGTATGAGAAGTAGAATTAAAGTGAAAAGCATAAGAAGGGATCTTGACCCTTGATCTCCTTTAATCTCAAACTCACTCATTAATCACGCTTGATACAAGGATTTATTCGGTGCATCTCATCCTAGTGTGCATTGTCAAGATCTTTTGTTAGGTTTCTCACCTTAACTCTTCTTCTCAACGAAACCTAATCCGATATTATATATATATATATATATATATATATATATATATACTTGGGATCATGTGAGACCAGCCTGTTTTCGTGAGAC